CGACTCGAATATATATATATATATATATATATATATATATATATTTGATATTTAATAATATATATATAATAAAATTATAGAAAATAATATATAATAAAAATATTATAATTCTTAAAATTTTAATTATAAAATAAAAAAATTTATATATAATTTTTATTTTTATAAAATATTTTTTCATAATATCTTTATAATAAAATATTTTTATAAAATATAAAATGAGTTGAGCCGAGCCGAGCCGAGCTCGAGCTTATGAACTCTTGACTCGAGCCGAGCTCGAGCTCAAGGTTCTGGCTCGAACCAAGCTCGAGCTCAAGCTCGAGCCTTATTGAATAGTCATGAGCCGAGCTCGAGCTTGGTACTATTCGGCTCGGCTCGGCTCGAATCCACCCTTGGTTGGAAGGCCTTCAATGAAATCCATGGATATTTCAGCCCACACCTTTTCAAGGATAGGTAGAGGTTGGAGTAGTCCCGGGGTTGGGAGATTCTCGGCCTTGTGTCGTTGACAAGCATCACATTCTCGGACCCACGCTCACACTTCCTTCCTGTAGCTCTTCCAAAAACAGATCCGCCTAAGGCGTTGCAATGTGTTCTGGTACCTCGAGTGCCCACTTGTAGGGGAATAATGGGCTTCTTCAAAGAGTTTGGTTCCTGGGAATTTGGGCTTAACATCACCCACCCATTCTTCCAAATGAGCCCATGCTTTACTTCATACCTTGGGCCTAGCTCGTCTCCCCTTAGTATGCCTCATTGAGCACTTGTAGGTTTGGATCAGCGGCCACCTCTTCTCTAAGTGCTTTAATCCAGCTAGGAATTGGTTTTGAGAGGACATGCAAAGTTTTGGTGTGGCACCTTGAGAGAGCATTCACAACAAGGTTCTCTCTCCCCTTCTTGTACATTACTTCAAAATCAAAGCCCATTAATTTACTTATGAGTTTCTACTAGGATGGAGTGTGGATTTTTTGTTCTAGTAGATATACTAAGCTGCGGTGGTCGGTCCAGATAGTGAATTTCTTTCCCAACAAATATGACCTCCATTTTTGAGTGGCCATCACCATAGCTAGGAGTTCCTTGTTATAGGTCGAGAGTGAGAGGGCCCGACCCTGTAGAGCTTTGCTGAAATAGGACAAGGGTCGACCATTCTAGGAGAGTACTGCCCCAACCCCGTTTGCTGATGCATCACACTCAATGGTGAAAGGAACTAAGAAGTTTGAAAGAGACAGTAGGGGGGCTGTGGTCATTGCTGTCTTCAATTTCTGGAAAGCCAGATCAGCCTCTACCGCCTAAGCCCAGCTTCCCTTCTTGAGCAATTGGGTAAGTGGCCTTGCTAGAAGCCCATACCCCTTAATAAACATGCGATAGTAACCTGTAAGGCCCAAAACCCCCCTTAATTCTTTTTGTGTCCAAAAAACCCCTTAATTCTTTTTGTGTCTTGGGCTTGGGCCAGTTCTGAATGCTTTGTATTTTATCTAGATCCATGCCTACCCCGTCAGCTGAAATGATGTGTCCCAGGTACTCAACCCGATCTATGGAAAACCTGCACTTCTTCATTCTAGCATACAATTTATTTTTTCTTAAAACCCCCAAGGTTAGTCTTACGTGAGTTATGTGCTTAGTGGTGGATCTGCTAAAAACCAATATATCATCAAAAAATACCAGAACAAATTTTTGAAGGTACTCATGAAAAGTCTCGTTCATTAACACCTGGAAGGTTGAGGGGGCGTTACTAAGGCCAAACGGCATCACTAGAAACTCATAATGCCCTTCATGAGTTCTGAAAGCGGTCTTATGCTCATCATCGTGTTTGATTCGGATTTGGTGGTAACCAGACCTCAAGTCCAACTTAGTGAAAATACATGCTCCCTACAACTCATCAACCAGTTCATCAACTACCAGAATGGGGAACCTGTCGGGAATGGTCACTCTATTCAGAGCCCGGTAATCCACACACAATCTCCAAGACCCATCCTTCTTCCTAACCAGAAGCACTGGGGCTGAATATGGGCTAGTGCTGGGGTGGATTATGCCCTCACGGAGCATCTTCTTAATAAGTCTCTCAGTTTCGTTCTTCTGGAAATGGGGGGTACCTGTATGGACGAACATTAGAAAACTCAGTTAGTATTTTATCAATCTTCATACATGGGCTGCTGATTTCTTGTGTTACCATTTGGCCCACCATCTGTAGTAATTAGACTTGATGGGCCTTACTAATGGCCCGCTGTATGGAATCAGTCTCTTGGGCCTCTTGTTGTTTTGTTCCCTTAAGGATATGTGTACCCAACTTATCTGAAAACTGAAGGCTCATTGTATTAAAGTCCCATTGGACTGGGCCCAATGTTTTAAGCCAATGAGTTCCCAGTACCGCATCATACCCCGTTAGAGCTAGGAGGAAGAAATTTGCAGTAATGGTGGTGCCTTGGACTTGTATATTCACCCCCGGGCAGACATCGTTTCCAGTGAGCTTCTCACCGTTGGGAATTACAACCTCAAATGCCTGATTTGAGGTAAGTGTGATATTGGCTTTTTGGGCCAAACGTGGGTCGATCCACTATCCACCAGAATGTGCAAGGGATGTTTACCAATCCTACCCAACAGTCTCATAGTCTAGGGAGAATTGCTCCCGATTAATGCTTGCAGAGAAATTTCGGGTGTTACCTCATAGTCACCTTTGTCCACCAATTGGCCGGGTTCATCATCTGTGACTTCTAATTCCTCCTCCTGTGGCCCCACGATCCAAAACAGTTTGGGGTTCTTACAACGGTGCTGGGGGTGGTAGAATTCATCACAGTGGAAGCATAGTCCCTTGGCCCGCCTTTCTCTAGCTTCTGCGGGAGTTATCTTCTTGATCTCCGGCACCTTGGTAGTGGTCGAACTGGGTACAGCCTTGGATTTCTGGAACTCCGCCTGGTCGAGCCTCCTCCTCGCATTGCTCTCCTCTTCCTCGAGAAGAGCCAGCCGTATGGCCCGGGACAGTGTGGCGGGCTCAAACTTTTGACACCCGCTCTGAGGTCGGCTCGGAGTCCTGCCACAAAACAGCCCACGAGAAACTCCTCCGACAGCCCCTTCATGCAGCTAGAAAGTCTCTGAAAATCCTCCAGATATTCTTGAACTCCGGTCACCTGGGTGAGCTTGGCCAACCTACCAACATAGTTCAATCCCATGGGACCATTGAACCTCCCGTCCATAGCCTCGACAAACTATCTCCAAGTGGGTAAGGGATGGAGATCTCGAAACCAACAATACCATTCAGATGCCTTACCTTCAAAACTTAGACATGCCACGGCTATCCACTGTTCCTCCGGCACCTCTTGAATCTCAAAGTATTGACGGATCTGGAGGAATCATTCGTCCAGGTTCATTCTGCTAAACCAGGGAAGGTCTAGCTTGAGTCTCCTCTGGAAGCTACTGTGAGAGCTGCTACCCCTGCCATTTTCACCGCCCTAGTTTTGTGAAGCCTCTGGAACACTCCGTCTAGAAGCCCCTTCGCCTGAAGTAAGAAGGTTGAGCTTCTGAATGATCTCGTCCAGCCTCCTCCCGAAGTCTTCCTGGTTCCTTTCAAGGCTGCTGAGCCAAAGTTCCATGTCCCCCATTTCTGGCTGCCGAGGATCCGATGGCTCTGTTACCAAATTGGTATCGATCTCTTCTCCGATGAGAGAAGAGATCTTCTTCTTTCCCCGAGCAATGGTGCCCAACACTGCTCATGAAGGAGTATAAGGACAAGAACAATGGATATTTAATTCACTCTGATGATTTTATTCATAGATGGGGTGTTTATATAACCCAAACCATTACAGCTAGTAGTGGACGATAACCGAATTAATCCTCTGCCACTGGGAATTCTTCCATGCAAGGTGGCAGGTTGAATGTGCGTGACCCTCATGCAAGGTAGTGCTCGGGTAGCAGGTGCCCTTGATGGGTTGTATTCGGAGCCGGGTCAGCAGGGTCCGGGATCCGTACCATATTCTTTCCAAACCGAGCCTTAAGGTCGAAATTAACCTTTTCCTAAAAAAGAGTTAAAACTATCTACTTAGCGTTAGGAATCACCTAAGAATGAAATCAAGTGAAAGACACCTATAAGACTATAAGTTATCAAAAACGTAAAAGACACCTATATTGATTTTTGAAAAAATAAAATCACCCAATATTATTTTTCAAAATGATTTACTTCATTGGTTGATGTGTCAAGATGAGAAAGCGGAATTACTATTTTCGCTTTTTTCCGAATGTCAGAAATCTAAATCGACTTTATAGGCAAACACACCCTAAAACGTCCTCTGCTTTTCTATACCTCCCTTGCAAAATTTTTGGCCGTTAACAAGTAAAACCGTGTATCAATCATCACCCTAACTTTTAAAAACTAAAAAATATCCTAATTCAAGATTCTTTGGCATATTAAGATGAAAGTGCTCAAGTTATAAGAAGAAAGAGAGACGACCCTAAAAGCCTTTCATCCTTCTTATAGGCAAGTGCATGACAGTGGAGGTTGACCAAACGAAGGAGGCGACTAACATAGATCCCACTGGCACGATAAGAATTTTCTGGGTTCAATTTGGTTGTATCTGTTATTCAAGAACAGCTTAAGCTTTTACGTTGAATAGTTCTTTGAGACGGTTATCAAAACCATTTTGATCAAGTGGTCTAACGTTCGATTCTTGTCACCCCTATTATAATTAATTAAGTTTCAGCACAAGCTATGGGTGGGCCTGTGTTGTCCGCCCATACCCATACCTGCTAATAATGAAGATTACAGCTTCTTACAATGGCAACTTCTTGCAATCCTACAACAGTCCCAGTGGTTAAATTTTCCCTTATCCTAAACTCGCCAATATCTTCTCTAAACATACTGTTATATTATCAATTTTCAAGAATTTTTACCCTATTTTCCTTAATAATCTACAAACTTCATTACTTCTTCTCTATCCACCACGTTCAACCTAGGACTTCTCCTTCCCATCCTACAGAGCTTCATTCGGGAAATTCCCAACACATGGATAATAAACGGAGAAAAAAAATGTCATGATTGACCCTTCTCAGGGGGCTAGGCAGGGTACTGATCAGCCAAGCCTAGCCCCATCATTCCTAGAGTGGAAGAGGTCAGACAAACATGAGAAGGAAAGGATTAACTCAACCAATTGAGCCAAGTTCTTGAACGTTGGCTTTAAAGCTTACATAAAGTGAAAGAACAAATATGTTATCTGTTTCGCTTCAGCACCACATTGTAGTGCTTGAATGGTCACAGCAATGCCAGTGAGAGAGTGAACAAACCCCCAATGAAAACAAGTGCAGCTGCAGCTACCATGTGCACTGCATAAAGAATCCACTCACCCCTTCTGTTAAGCTTCTCATCAACCTCTCCTCATGCTGTTAACAGAAATAGAAGAGTGACTAGCCAGAATCAGACAATTAAGAAACGGATAATTAACTTCTGAAAGAGAAATATAATCTATAATTTTGTATAATTGTAGTTGAGTACTTGAGTTTCATAACTATATATTTTGCATAAAATGAAAACCCAAAATATTATAAGTATTGGCCAGTTGCCTGATCCATTGACATCATGGAATTCACCATCACAAAGGGAGCAAGTCATCTTTGTCCCTATAGATCCTAGAGGAATCCATGACTGACAATATACTAGAAACAAGTGACCAACTAAACATTATTCTAGAAATAGGTAATGGGTCAAATCAAGTGGGTTTAGTGAACACAATTTGATTTATGAAACTGTTTTTGCAAACATGCCCACTCAGATGGAAAATGAACACTATGTAATGTGAGACAATGAAAGGACCATGAAACATATTTAAGAAGGCACCATATAATAATAAATCTCTTCCTGTCTTGGTAATATAGGCAATATGACTATTTTGAATCAGAAACTCATGCATTTATTTATGCATATAAGAAAGATGTGCCCTTGCAAGGACCAATAAAAATTGAAAACCACAGAGGAATACAGAATTTACATGGTTCATCAATAGTAAGCTTGTCAATGTGATACAGAGGCTACAAATTCCAATCTGAAAGTTCCCAGGAGACTGGTTTCTAACCCAACGAGAAATGCAATATGGATTTTCCACTCCTAAATAAGAATTCAAAGGATTTCCATTTTACAAAATATAGCATATGTAGCTTTGGAGGTGCTGCTCCTAAATCCTCGCTTGAAGAGCCCATAGAAACAGAAATTGGCACCCCCAAAACTCCCCTTGCTAACCCTTATATTCTAATTGTCAGGAATGAGGAGGTCCAACTAGGATAGAACTTACACACACTATGAGTAGAAAAACTTACACCTAAATTTTGTGAACTAAGAAGAAGTAAAAACAATTTTCCACAGAACAAAGGAAGGGTTCCTTTCTTACAGGACAAGAGTTGGTGCTTGCAATATAACGAAGCTGGAGAGAAAATGTAACATAAACAATGGATAACATTAGCTGAAATATTAAACCGTTTGTTTTCTTACAATCAAGAACACACCATCTGGTCAACTACAGCCTATAAAATAGGGCACTCACTGAAGTAGAGTCATCATAGGATTCAGTTATACCCCAGGTGCTAACTAATACAGAATTCACAACATAGTTGTGCAGCAGAGCTGTACCTTCTGTGCCAACTAAACAGATCTGGTTAATACATTTTATGTGCCTTGAGCAGAATCAGGTTCAGAAATGATACTAGATGATTAGGATCAGTCAAACTCACGTGCATAAGAGTTGTAACATTATAATAAAAAGGTGGAAAAGTAATGGGTTGTTCAACTACAGTTTGAAGGTATATTCATAATTGTCTGAAGTGGTATCTTGGTATGTCCATGCAGTGACTTCAAGTTGAGGGGAAGGGAATCCATGCTACTACTCTGCTCATGAAATTTATAAACAATACTGGCATTGATTTTCTTTGGAAGATTAGGGATTCAAGTTCAAACACAGTGTGAGGGATATATACATAAAACAATACAATCAATTAAAGTACACAAAGGTTGTTATTCAATTTTTGACATATAGAGTCTTAATCTTTATAGGAAATAAACTAGAAAGCAACTGTTAGCTAGATCTTACAAAAAGTTGGTGTGTGTGATCAAATAAATCAATCTCATGGGTTCAGAAAGAAACAATTAGTGAAACTAGCAAACATAAGCTCATAAGTAACTAGAGTAAAGCATTTCCAGGAAAAACAAATGGGAGAAGATAAGGGTTGCGGAACTTACAATCACTGAGGTATTCTGGCACTGTCAAAGTATTTTAGCTAGCAACTGCTTTTCGTAAGTATCATTTTCTCATCTATTTAAATTCTAAGTGAACCTTAACCACATAAGACAAAAATAAAAAAAGAACGTAAGATATTAAATAATGTGAAATGTAGTAATTTTCTCTAGGAGGATAAAGCAGGAAGTAAAGAGAAAAAAAAAGGCAACAAAAAACAGTTGGTAATTGAAAGTTAAAAGGGCTAGACTTGTGAGTTTCTCACTTGTCATATATGTAGCTTTTTATACCACATTACTGCACACATGGAAAGCCTAGAGGCATCAGTCAAGGGGACCCATCAAGGAATGTTCTGGTATGGGCCAAAAGAATGAACTGATCCATCCCCTTTGCCTAGCTCCATGTGAGCTTCATGTCTGATAGAGGCAAAAATTGGTAAGGACATCCTCAATTTTGAAGCTTCTATATACTTCCCATCGATTTTGCATATTCATGGGCCTTAAAACAATTCCATTTAACAGACATACCTTGAGGTCCAGATGTCCTCCTCTTCGTCGGGGGTGTATTCTTCAAACAGGGGTTGGAATGTGTTATGAGTGTCCACATCACCCCACTGTAGTTCCTTCCACCAAAGCCTGTCTCCCTTGATTTGAGAAATGGTCCTTGCATTATGGCTTCCCAGTGGAAGCTTATGGAGCCTTGGGCATTCGCAGACTTCAATCTGCCTAAGTGAAGGCCAAGCCAACACCCATGAACAAATGGATCTCAATTTTGGTAAATTGACCAATGATATGCTCTGAAGTCTTGGGAGTGCATATTCATTAACCGCCTTTGCTGCTATCACTTCCTCCATTGAATAACAAAATGTTACCTCAATTTCTCTGAGATTCTCAAGTTGTTGAAGCAAAGCATAAGAAATCAAGCTTTTTAACCTTGGACATTCATGCACTTTTATCTTCTTGATGTTCCTGAGGTTGTCTCCATCTGGAACCATTCCTTCCCAGACTCCCTCTAAGTTCTGCATATGGTAGAGGTTTAGTTCCTCTAAACTCGATAATTCACCAACTACATCCTCTCCTCTTACAAGGTTAGTGATCCCATCACAACCCATTACTGTGAGGGACTTCAATTCCATCATACTTCGAATACTTAACTCAGATATCTCACTTATGCCTTTACATCTCTTCAGAACTAGGGATTTTGCATGCTTCAACAACTCTTCCACTCTTCTCCCCAGAAGATCAACATCTTCAAGAATCACTCTTTTCTCAACATAAGAACTGGGTAGATAGCTGGCATCATAACTTGTTGGACCGATGCATATGCAGAATCTTTTCAAATCCTTCAACCAATTAATTACGGATTCTTGGGCTATCAGATCTATGTTATCCACTCTAATACTAAGAAATGCTAATCTCCTTAGTGACCCAAACTCCGGCAGAGTAGCCTTTTTCCTTTCTTCTAATTCACCCCACCTATAAGCACTGGAAGACATGTCCAACTCCTCTAGACTGTATAAAGAAGAGATGATGCCAGTGCCAATCGTTTCAAGATGGTGTGTGTAGGAGAGGTTCAAGTGTTTTAAATTACACAATTCCTCCATTCCTTGAGGCAAATCTTTGATGTGAGCAAAACGAAGGTCAAGCACTTCTAGTTTCTTTAGGCCAGCACAAGAAGGCAACTCTTCTAAGGAATGACAATCACCTAGGAAAAGAGCTCGAAGGTTTACCAAACTTGATACTGAAAGGGGCAGAGACCTGATGTGCGTTGCACTTAAGTTTAGAACGGTAAGATTCTGTAGCCCAATGAAGAACCCTTCAGGGATCCTTTCCTTGAGAGGGTTACCTTGTAGGAATAATGTGGAAACTTGCGAGCATTCCAAGAACTGATCTGGGAGCCTGGTTATTTTATTGTTTATTAGAGAGACTCTCTTAAATGATCTCCATATCTCTTCCTGTAGTGGTAGCTCTCTCAAACCCATACCTGATTGAACCATGAATTTTGTATCCTCTATACCAGAGAACCCAATCCATATGGCCACATCACGTATTACATCATGCATTTTAACAGTTCCCTCATATGCACCACATTCTAACATGCAACAATCTTTGAGATATTCAGTCAAAGCAATTCCTTTGTTTTTTGATTCCTCCATACTTTGTTCATCGATTAAACCTTCAGCTACCCAATATTGTATTAATTCACTAACTTTAACTGAGAAATCTTCAGGAAACAGAGAGCAATACAAGAAACAGAGCTTGGTATTTTTACCTTGTAAAGAGTCATAACTCCATTTTAAAGGTAGAAAGACCTCCTTCTCAATGCCCTTGATGTAAGGAGCTGACTTTTGCAGTTCACTCAGTGCATTCCTCCACAACTCAATTTTGTTCTTTTCCCTCATGGCCTTCCCAACAGTGGTGATAGCCAGTGGTAGCCCACAACATTCCCTACTAACAGCCTTCGCAATTGGTTCTATATCTTCCAGCTTAGTTACCTGGCCTGCATTTTCACAGAACAATCTCCAGGACTCTTCCTCATCAAGCACTTCAACTTTAATTTGCTTGTTGGTCTTCATCTCTCTACAGACATCTAGAAATCTAGTTGTCAAAATGATTTTACACCCCTTATGAGCATCCCCTTGTGGAATCCCCACATCATCGAGGTCTACCTTTTCCCACACATCATCAAGGATCAGAAGAACCTTCTTCTCCTTCTTCAACCTCTCAAATAATCGAACTGCTCTTCTCTCAGTGCTCTCTCCTGCCCTCAGTTGCAAATTCAATCTCTCAGCGATTTCGAGCTGGAGCCTTCTGAGGTCCAAGTCTCTAGACACTGTGACCCAAACGACGACATCAAAAGGATTTGTGGAGCTCTCAAGGCTGTTGTTCAAGTTCTTCACAAGCGTTGTTTTCCCAACTCCACCCATCCCCCAAATGCCTATGCTTGCAATTCTGCTATCCTCCAACAAATCCAAAACCTGATTTAGCGTATCAGACGCCGCCTTTTGGTTTATGATGGATGGGGCAGGAAGTGTTTCCACCCCCTTGGCAGGTGAATCCATAGATACTCCTGCCGGAAGAACCACAGAATCTATAACTTTCAAGACGTCCTGGAGCATTTTCTTGGCTCTTCTGCTCAACTTATAACGCCGGTAGAAATTTGGACAGAAACCACGGAGACATGAGTTATTGGTCGCAAGCTTTCTATCCAATAGATCTACTTTAATTTCGGTATCTTGGACCTCCCTTAGCCACTCTTTGACTTGAACTGTTGGCACTCTACCTTGCTTTTGATCTGATTCAAGTTGCTCGTTTATCTTAATCTTCAGATTTCTGAGCCTCTCTGTTTCTTGCCGGAGGAGGTTGACATTCCCATGGAGTTTTGTGACGATCGTTACTGAAGAAAAGAGTGAAGAACATGCTTGTTTGGCAGCTTCGACCACTAGTGAACTCAATAACTCCATTGCTGCCAGGTTAAGATTTTTTAAAGCACCAAACTGATAAAAAAATTCTGAAGAAAAAATTACCAAAAAAAAAAACAGGCTTTTCGAATTGCAGATGAAAAATCAGAGACTAAAGAAAGAATTGAAATTAGAACAGCTCACTGAGCAAAGAAGAAGAGAGAAATGTTCAATATGGGATTGTTTGGTGCACCTCCAACTCTCCAAGCAGTCGTAGAATATCCCATAAAGAAACGAAATTGCTTTCCACGCAGTTGGAAGTTTGAAGAGGTTTCTTTCACATGGGAAACGGTTGGTGTCGACTGTCCGTAGAGTGCAAACCGAATATCAAACATTGGCAAGATGCAACTCTCTGATTCTTCGCCCTACAGACAAGGAGGGACCCATTCACATTGGTTACTATTCAGTATTCACTTTATGGGTCATAGCGAAGAAAAGTCTTCTTTTTATTTTTTTATTCTTTTACCCAACTGAGCCAGTTGGCACCTTGGAAGAAAAGTCAAAGTCGATGAAAGAGAAAGTGCTGCCATAGCTAGGTTTACAGCAGAAACTACACCCATGCTGGAGACCACTGTTCACTGAGCACCAACCATCCGTTGGATAGGAATCCAGGAAATTTTGTCCGCTTTTATTAATGTAAAGCCGAGGTTTGCCTTGGCTTCAGGTCAAAACTAATATCCCAAAATTTTGATCCATTATTTTTTCCATTCATCTTCTCCCCTCTTAAAGATAAAGTCATCTATATATTTATAAAGAAATAAAAGAAATTTCTTCCCCCTATCCTTATACATGTTGATTTTTTCTTTAACTTTATACAAGTTGATAAAACTCTATATCATTGACATCAATGGATAGTGTTTTTTTTTTCCTTTTCCTTTCCTGCTAGAATGACAAAAAAAAAAGAATTTTATTGATCAATAGGCCCAAAAATATACCCAATACATGGTGTTGGGCTATTGGGCTATTGGGCTATTTGTAAGACAGTCTAGGTACCGCAATATACTAGAGGGCCCCAGAATGGCCTAACAAGTATCAAATATGCCCTAAGATGAATGTCTCTGATTTAGGGATGCAAATGAATCAGATTTGTTCTTATTCGAAACAAATTCGTTAATTGGGATATTAGTAATAAATAGGTCAAATTAGATGAGAAGATATGATTATTTTATTAATCTGATCGAAATATTAAGCGAGAAATTTGGAGAGGTAAGGGTCCTTTTTTATCTTTCTTTTTTGAGAGGTTAATTTGCCCTTTCACAAAAGTATGCTAATTTTACATAAATCTATTGATGTTATAATTAATTAAATGGGGGATTCAAATCATATATCTGGATAATCTCTCTCTCTCTGATCCAAAAGAAGTGACCCTTCTACGAACGAACTGGCTGCAAGTAACACTCTAACATGGTGAAGAACAGATCTATCTTTAAATTTATTGTCATTAACAAAAAAAAAAAAAAAGAAAAAAAACAGATCACACATTGGCACTGGTAGAGGGGAAACCTTATTTAAGATTACATTTTGATGGAATGATAAACCAAAGAACTTACAATTCTTCTGGCCACAATCCAGTTCCTCTAGTCCCCTTTCTGCAAGCGATTAAACATCAAACAACTCCCCAGGAGCTCACCAAAGACACAGAATATTAATGAAATGATGCGCCACATCACACCCACACATGACAGGAGTCCATCACCAACTTAATTAGTTAATCCCTTTTGGCATCTTCATTGCTACTTCCATCCAGGCCCAAGCTGTGCTTCACGGCATCAGCTGCACCCTGAGCCAGGTTCTTCATCTGATCCCCTGTCTGCTGCAGGATACCGCCCGTCTTCTCCTTGCCCGCTTCGGCCGACTGGCCAGCCTCCTCACTCTTCTCCTGCAGGAAGCTGCCCGTCTTATCTTTGCCTGAACCAGCGTTGTCTCGTGCAGATTGGGCAGCCTTTGAGGCCTTGTGTTTTGCCGCGTCGGTCTTCTCACTGATATAGCTGCCTGTTTGGTCCTTCATCTCTTGGGTACGGCCTCCGGTAACTCCGCCACTCCCTGATACATTGTCTTTCGCCGCATCGAACTTCTCCTTGAGATAACTCCCTGTTTGATCCATGCTCTCCCGTGCCCGGCCTCCGGCAGCTTGGGCAGTCTCTGATGTCTTGTCCTTCGCTCTGTATGTACTGTCTTTCATTGCCTCTCCGGCCTCTCTTCCCTTCCCCATCATCCGATCCGTGCTCNCTCTCTTCCCTTCCCCATCATCCGATCCGTGCTCTCTCGTGCCCGGTCTCCGGCAGCTCGGGCAGTCTCTGATGTCTTGTCCTTCGCTCTGTATGCAGTGTCTTTCATTGCCTCTCCGGCTTCTCTTCCCTTCCCCATCATCTGATCCATGCCCTTTCGTGCCCGGTCTCCGGCTACCTGGGCAGTCTCTGATGTCTTGTCCTTGGCTGTGTATGCACTGTCTTTCATTGCCTCTCCAGCCTCTCTTCCCTTCCCCATCGTCTGATCCATCTTTTCCTGCACAGAACGAAACCCATCCAAACACAATTTAAGAGTAAAGGAAAGCAAAAGAATTCCTTTAACTACACACTGTTACAGACTCCAGTGCTTATTGTGATCATCACCATGCACACTGCAACTACTCATATATATAGGTCATGCATTCAACCTCAAAGTGCTTATTGTGATCATCACCATGCACACTGCAACTACTCATATATATAGGTTATGTATTCAACCTCATACATGATATATAATCACTACATGGGTCGTTCCAGAAGCATCCCCATGATCGTTTTGATTTAAGTACTTAACTCATATATACCTGAGCTTGGCCTTTGGTCTCGCCTGTTTTGTAGCTCTGCTGGTGGGATGACATGGAGTCGGACTAGAAAGAAAGCAAAGCAATTCAACAACGCTAACTCTCTGTAGGAAATGCTTCGAAAAAACTGATGGATAAATGGGGAATGAGATCTTCTGTTCTATGTGGACACAATGGGTTCTAGCTTGATCTTGCATGCGCATTTATAGGCACTGTTGATTGGACGCGTGTCCTGCTTCCCGACACGTGTTACCTTACGTGTGCCGCTTTCCCTTCGTAAAATGCACAATCATCAGAAATCAGAATAGCCGTTTGGATTCTATTTTCTGCTCTGCTGCCTTCTTGAGACGATCAGATAAAATATTAATATTACCATCAAACTGAAACCGTCAGTTTAGTTGCAAACCAGACACAAGGAAAGACGGGGGAGAGTTTTTTGACTACCTGTACTCATATAATTGGATGCTAACCCTTCACTATCACTTCTACTATATTATATATTTTTATTTACCTATAAAAATATATTTTTTATATACTGGTGTGTGGCACGTGCATTGCACGTGAAAAAATCATATATATACTGGAGAAAGACAAATAAATGGGTTGTTGGGCGTAATTTGATGATTGACTAATGTTGTGAAGTGTTGATGATAGAATAGTAAATTATATATGCAAGGGTATTTAGATAAACAAAAGTTGAAATTATTGGTTAAAATTGGGATGCAAACAAAGGATAGAATAGAAAATGAAGTAATTAAGATGTTTTAAATATATAAGTTTGAATATGAACCCATTAATAATTTTTTAATAGACCTATAAATAAATTAATATATTATAAGAATAAAATGAAAATTTGTGTTATTAGAAAAGGGTATTATAGGTATACAAAAGTTGGACCCCAAGGGGAATGAGCCTAAAACTGTCTTTCTTTTTACTATATAGAAGTGGAAAAGTTTGAATATAAACCTATTAATGAATAAACATATGATAAGGATAAACTAAAAATTTGCATAAATAGAAAGAGCATTATAGATATATGAAAGTTAGACCAAAGAGGATTGGTGTGGAACTGTCTCCTTTATATATATATATATATATATATATATATATATAAAGGAGAGAGAGAGAGAGACTTTTCTTGGTTTTCTATAGTTCATAAAAATTAAATTAAAGTATTTCAATACCATCGTTTAACACTTACAAATGATAGTTGTTTAAATATTTTAATTTTTAAAATCAATCAATGATCTAAGATTTCAAAATTAAAACCCCTTTTCATTTTTCTTTTTGGTTTTTACCTTTGGTCTTTAATTGCACATTTAACTACACATGCACATGACACGTATTATTACATTAGTAAGGGAAAAATTAATCCAAGTTCCCACAATGTGATTTCTATTTACTCAAATCTCTGCTGTATTTTGACTCCTCTTCAAACCATCCTTCACAATGTGGATTGTGAAAATAATGAGGTTTTAGCCGGTATTTTCTGTGGTTGATTAATCTAATCGATCCTCTGAAGAGTCACTAGGCAAAATCAGGATGCTAGAAAACTTAAAGCCTCACGTCAATGCTTTCCATTAACCAAACTAACAGAAGGGGTGTCGATGTTACTTTCTTTGAAGGAGGTTTAAGTAGAGGTCAAGGTACACATTATTATAACCGTGGATCCATATTTAATCCACATTATAAATTAATTATATTCGGATCTCCTTAATCGGATCGTGTTGAATTTGGATTCAGACAAACGAATACCATTTCATCCCTAATGGACAGAGGCGTATCTTATACATAATTTTGCTTACTTCTTTTTTGGGTAGTGCATAATTTTGCTTACTTAAAAGAAGTGATTAGGATCTGATAAAATAATCCAAAGTTTATGTTTTCCTCAATTGATGAATTTGACTATTTCGAATGGGGGTGATTATGGGCTGGGCTTAGCAACTGTTATAAGAGTTATAGACCAGGCCTGGGCTCGGCCCAGCCCAAGTTCCGGGCCTCTGATATATATATATATATATATATAATATTTTATATTATCTAAAACTATGTATAATTATAAATATATGTGTAAGCAGTAAGTAGAGCAGGGTCTAAGCCCAAGCCTGAAACTTCCGGGGCGGGCTTTCTGGGCCAGACTGAAAAGGGAATTTGTGGTTCTCCATTACCAAGAGTTCCTTGAATAAAATCATCAAGAGTTCCTTGAATAGGGATTTGTGTGGATAATTCGTTCTCCATTACCAAATCTGTAGGGAGAATTTGTGGTTCTCCTCCCAATTCCGAGACACCAGTGTTTGAAGGTTTCATTGTTTATGGTCCTAGTCAAGCGGAAACGATTTTTGAGGGTTTGTTTTCACTCCATATGTAGAACAAGCCATAATGAGGCAACAAGTATGGGGAGGGATACATGTGTCATCGCTGCAGATAGACTCAGAAAGCTATAAATGCCCCATTGCAAGAACTTGGCTTCAACACACAATCCAAGAATTCAACAAACAAGAGCTTCTCGATTCCCCTTGCAATCTCTCTTTCTTTTGTTTTCGCTTCTATCAAACAAAAAATGGCAAGCCAAGATCTTAGCTACCAGACCGGCGGTGCAGCAGCTGGTCAAGCTCAGGTGCATTTACTAGCATCCACCCCTGATGATGATGGTGTTATTGATTAATTCATGGCTTTCATAGTATATATTCATGGTATCATGATCAATTTTTGCTAATTTTCTTTTCTTTGTTTTCTGAGCAGCTTAAGAGGGACGAGCAGGTGTCCAATGCTGCCCAAGCCGCCCAGGGAGGGGCATCTGAAGCTGCACAGTCTACCCAAAGCTCCCTCCAAGAAGCCAAGGAGCAAGCAACCAACTTCCTTCAACAGGTATATAATAATAAACATCTCTAATATGGGTTAGTGCTTCTCTCAAGCCAAACCAGAAAACCCAGATTTTTCAAGGTTTAGGGTTGGCTTTTCAAATAGATGATCAAGAGTTATATGAATTCAATTAGCCTGACATTTTGATTTTGTGTTACTGAAAGACTGGGGAGCAAGTGAAGAACATTGCACAAGGAGCTGCAGAGGCAGTGAAGAACACTCTGGGGATGAACAATAGCAATGAGCCCAACAACCCAAGCTTGGACTCAAGCGCCCACCCTAGCAACCCCGGCGGCCCAGTAAGCCACTAAGAAGATTTGATCCAAGCTTCTGTCTTCTTGTTGCTTCTGAAAGTTTATTTTTTATTCCCAATTCTTTCTGAGGTTGTTAGTTATGGGCCTCAACCAATTCTATTGTGGAAGTGGTTATCTTGTTTGTTTCTTGTAAGAAGAGAGTGCTGCAATCTCTCTCTCACTGACAATGAAATTATAATTTTCTTCTTTTGTTTCTTCTCCCGTAAATCAGAATGCTATTTGTTTTTTTTTTGTTTCTTTGAAGGATTTGACTTTGTTCCTTTCTCTTCAACAATTAATTTACTCCATACAAAGATCCGATTTGATTAAGAAACTAATTGGGTCCAAATGAGCCATAGGGTATATTTGCCAAAAAAAAAATAAAAGAAAGTGGTAAGCTGAATTAAGTTTTATCTCAAATACAAAGTGGGTTGGCCCAGATGTGGCAGGCTTTAGGTAATATCCGTGCCACGTGGCAAAAGAAAGCACCGCCATTATGCATAAATTTCCAGACGTGAACCAAGTGAAGTACTAATGTGGTCTTCAAAGCTGCCGAAATAAGCCCTCAAAGCCAAATACAAGCAGAGAGGTCCAACCCAGAAGGTGGGGAAGCCCACACACAGAAATCATCCAAATATTTGGCCTTTTGGGCCACAAGGTGAGCAGGCCTAGAAAAAGTCTACGAATATACAAAGCCTTGCTAGCACTGGCCGGGATTCTGGGCTTTCTGAGTCTATAAACTTATATATTGCATATTCTGGTTCGACCCATGTTCTGGTTTCTGAGAGAAAATTTAAAGGATCAAAGACAAAAGAGATGATGGGTCTCCTTCTTGGAGAATCCTAGCTCTCCAAGTTAACTTTTGCTTGGTAGGTTAAAAGACAAACAAGAAAAAAAACTGTAAACACCAGGTGAGAGGACGGCGCTTTGAACTACAAGCGGCCTATGAGGTGTGTGCACCAAATGACCCACACCTTTGGGCTAATGGGCTTAAAGGTGTCACTGGACTGGTTTTGGGTTGTACTCTGTTCAAATCAAAATCAATTTGGATGACTTGGATGGATCAATAAGACATTGAATTGGACTAGTCCAGACTTAATATTACAAAATATTGATTGGATTGGATTGGATTGGACCTGGTTCATCCATAATGGATTGATATTGGATTGGGTCGGATTGAATCAATATCCGGTCCATTGATAGAAGATAAGAATACAGGTGTCAATGGACCAGTCTTGGGTTGGAACCAATTTGATCAGATTGGACGGTCCAAAATGGTCCAGAGTATTATTCATCAGATTGGATTGGACCTAGTTTATCTGTAAACTGTAATGGATTCATAATGGACCTGATAGGATTGAACCAAATCCGGTCCAATTGACACCCCTAGTCTGTAGTCTGTACTATGATGCCATTGAAAGACCGTTTACGTGATGAATTATCTGCAACTATGTTCTTATTTGGTCCTATGGTATGAGGTGAGAAACTAACTAAAGGCTAAAGCTTTTCTGAAGAACGGTTGCCTATTCTGTCAGAGGAAGCAATGCAATAGAGATGGTCAGGAGGAATAATCAGTGAGTATACCGGGAGCTTCCAGATTCATGGGCTCCGAGGCAGTCTGCAAATGAGTCAATTAGTCGAAGGAGTTTCTGTTGGCATCAGTGGCCGGAGAAGAAAAAAGTTGTTTATTATGTACAAGTACAACAACAATGTCTATTTTTGAAGCGTATATCCTGCAATTAGTCTTATGTCTGCTGCTTCATCTCCTCTTTATTGTTGCTTCTTTCTTCCTCTTTTCTTGTTTCTTTTCCCTCTTACCTTGGTTTTTCTTTTTTGCATTAGACCGATAGTATATGGAGATGGAGCTAGGTTCAACTTCATGAGCCCATGGCAGAGTGCAAACATTAATTATAGAGTAAAAAAAATCTTGGGAAAAAGGAACTAATGGAAATATTTAGAGAATAACTAAGAAAACCCATTGAAGAAAAAATATTTTTCTTTTTTGATATTGTGAATATGTGTATTGATCTGAACATTGAGAATACGTAAGTGAATGGAACATGCATGAGGATTTAATCACAGCCATACATCAGGAATAGCCACGTGTGCAATAAAAAATAATGGTTAGAAAAATGGAGCACAGTAAAAAAGACTCAAGAAAAGAAAAACAAAGTTATTAATATATCAAGGACTAAAGCCAGTTTCAAATGCATTTAATACTTGTACAGAAGAATAAGACGTAAAGTTGCACTGAGACAAAACGAAATGCAATTTTAGTAACGCCAGGAGTAAAAGTAAGGAATTAGTTAATGCATGCTTAATAGTCTAGAAATTCCTTAAAAACTGTTTTTTCTCTTTTAATCCAAATTGGTTAATTATTACCAGTAAGGAGAGGGATAGAAGGGGAAATCATCCAATGAATCTAGATTTGTGGCAATCACAGAATATGTCCACAAAGTGAGCATAGTAGATATAAGAATGTTGAGATACATATATAGCCAAACCAGTAGGGACAAAATAAAGAAAAAGGAGTCAAAGTATAGTAGTAAGAAAACAATTCTTTAGCAGAAAATATGGTCATAGATAGACTAATTGAGAAATAGGATTCAGGTAGAAGATCCCACACAGATTGGATAAGAAGAAGAAGATGATGATGAAAAATGTTTGAGGAAACATTAGGTAGAATTCTGTGAAAAATAAATAAAGCTTATATATTGTGATAAGGTTGCTTAACCTCTAAAATCAGACTCAACCCCACCTATAGAAATTTATGTGGGCTAAAACCTTTCAGTCTATTCCAGCAGAAATACCAGAGTTTATTCATTTTTCTCCATTTCATTTCCTGTCTTATTTTCTACTTGGTGTTTGAGAAAGGATCATAAATTTTACCTGGCTTGATACAAGATGTATATTCTAACAAAGGAGTCTTTGTATGAGAAACAGTGTTTGGAAGTTGCTTCATGCATGTGCAGGCATGTTCTCATCCATGTCGATTTGGTACATGAGAAATTGACACTCTTTCAACATGATATGCTCATAACCACAATGATGATACTCTCTTTTCCCTTTTCTCTTCAGGATTGATGATGATGATGATGATACACAGTTAGGTCCCTTCTTACCTGTAAGTCCCCACCTCTGTCTATACCATCCTAAAAAGGAACTAAAAGGACCATCTTAATGGGAAACATTATAGGTGAAGAAACAATCAATCTTCAATAGGTCTCACATGGATGGACAGTTTAGTTGTTTGTAGGGTGGGGCTCCAATGCCATCTTCATCTAGCTTCAATTAGTCTACAGAAACTTCAGATTATCTTTGTTTCTTTTAGTTCTTCCTTGCTATGAACTCTGAATATTAATGCTTTAGAAGTAGATATTATGAGAAAGAATTAATTGCTTTAATTGTTGTTTGTTTCTAGCTAGTTCAAGCCTTTGGGTAGTGCAAATGAGGAACACCTCACATCTGTTTTGAACTCAACTAACCAAATTTCTGCTACTGTTAATATTGGGTAGTCTTTTCCTTCGCTTTTTCATGGCCCCTACCAACCAGACACAATGTTAACTGAATTAGACTGCAGATGCAAACGTGAAGAAAAAGAAAACAAAAGGGGAGATGAATTGTAGATTCCAGTTTTATACTTAATTACTTAGAAAAAAAAAATAGTGCAAAATTTCTTAAGTAACGGCCGAAAGCTAATCATTTAAACTGCCAAGTGTCAGACATGATCTACTGTGATAAAATGAGTTTGAATGTAAGTTATATATAACATAGAATTTTGCAACAATTATTTCTACACTTTGAAATATATGTGGATGTCATTGATTAATTCTTGCTTGCTTATCCTGCTTTCAGACAGATATGCATGTCACCTTTTTGAATGAAAAAGGGGGGGGGGGGGGGGAGGAGTGTTACCCTATGAAAAAAAGCTTTAACTCCTCCAATTGACCAAAATGTCCTTACCTCTTTAATGACTAAAATACCCTTGTGAGCCAAATGGTCCTCATCCTCGCTGAGACATGGTGGAATTGTAATTTGGAAGCAAATTTTTAAAGGGAATGATTTACCTAGGGTTGATATGGGATTTGATGGATGGGAAATTTGGTATAGAATCATTCCATAAGAGAAATGTGATGGATCATATATATTTGCTAGAATCATTGGACAAATCTCGGTCTGGACTGGAGAATTCCTAGACAGGCCTTGAAGAGTGGTCCCAATCCTCCCCCTCACCACACAAACTCACTCTATACCAATCTCTACTGACTACTGACAACATGAGCATGGAAAGACGGGTTTCCCATTCTTCAACTTGACAGTGGATATTCCTTTGAAGAGGTAGAAAAAGTTAGGTTACTTCAAAACAAAACTGCACCGAAATTTACACAGGAACAAGAGGTACATCTTGGATTTGTTCAAAACAAAACAAAACTGCACCGAAATTCTCATGTAAGTTCCTTTATTATATATATATATATAACTTGCAATGATTTGTATTTGTTTTGAAGAAAGTAAAGGGCAGTTAGGAGATCTTCACTTTCATACTCAATAAAAAAAGAAAAAAACATGAATGTAGTATGTATGTATTTGTTATGTAGTAATGAACGTAACAAAGAAGAAAAATGAATATCTTGGACCACATAGTTTGGATATGCTCCCCGACAAGTCTCTATATGATGAACAGGACGAGTAGATAAGTTCCATAGTAGATGCTGGTATAAACCCTTTAGAAATTTGTCCACTTTCACTGAAAGTCATGGATCCTCCTGTTAAATTGTTTTTAAGAAGAACCCATTTGGATTTTCTCACAAATTGTTCTTTTTTCTTTGGTGTTGTGGGGTTGTCAGGTTGGTCATGTCTGTCTGGTATTCTCGGCACATAATGGGAGTGGAAGTCTGCAGTTTGGTTGTTATTTTAGGGATGAAACTCCCCATCTCCTCAGATTCTGTCCTCTTATTGTTTTCTTTTGTTTCCTATTACTTTGAGCTGAGCCATTGACATGTTTCCTGCCAAGTTTCATTCTGTGGGTTTAGTGGTGCTGAAAGTTCACTTTCGAATTGGTTGCTCATGCAGCTGTTGTTTTCAGGAAAAAACCAGTTCAGTTCTGGTTGAAGCCCACAAAAAAAGAAGAGCTAGCTAGGGAGGCATGGTCCTTGTACATAGTACATACTCGATCGACAGCCCAACTACACCACTTTGTAAAGTGATTTGTTTGCTCAGCTTTGCTCAACACGTCTTCTACTTTAATTTGTTCTTGGGGGATTAAGTTTCGGATCCAAGCCACAGGATGGATATCAGACCAAGACCCCTCCAACTGTAAGCATTGGACACTTGGACAGAACACCCGGGTTGATGGGTCAAGTTAAAAATTGCCACCTTTTAAGTATTATCCGTGCACCCACCTGATTATTTCTCTAATTTATTAATGGGCCTCACTAATCCTCATGTAGATAAAAAAGTGGTAGAAATATTAATTGAGCACTTTCTTTTGGGTGGTGGGTGTGGGAGAGGGTTAAAGTGTTAGCTAAAAATCTGTCTCCTTTAATAGTTAGTTGGGGACCCTTTATCAACCCTACCCCACCCCATGCACCCAGAAAAGGATGAGACTTGAAGCTTTCTGAAGAGGGGAATGAAATTTAAACAATAAAAAAATAAAAAAAGGATCCTAATGAATGGGTTTGCTACCGAGTCAAGTCTTTCAGTGACCCTTCCTTCCTTTAGCAGAATTTGATGGATTGATCATTTAGATATAGGGAATAGAGAAGGGCCTTCCTTGATCTCATTATGTTTATATAGTTTATGGTATACACAACAAATAGACAAGGAAATGACCAAGGAGAGTGGATGGGTAGTTGAGAAGTAGCGGGAGAAGTGTATCTATGGACAAATGATGGAGTTTTGAGTTTTCCAATATCTTTGGTTCTCTGAGACGACGTTGCAATTAATTCTCGCTTGGCCTGCTTCTTGGAATTGAAACCAAAAGGAACAAAACAAAGATAAGATCCTCTGCAAAGAAGAACGAAGATCTATCTGCTGCAATAAATATTCAAATAAAGAGTGAGAAGATTCATGTTTTATTGTTTTCTCAAATTTCAATGACCTAGCACCTCCAAGTTTGCGAAATATTTTAAGGATCAATTGATAAGAATGGGTCTCAGTTGAGTTGTATATATTTGATGGCCCACCACTTCTGGGTTTGATGGAAATCCCAGAAACCAGACTGATGAGTGAAGAATCTTGAGCTGATACCAAGTACTCAAAAAAACAATAAAGATAATTTGGAAAGCAAGAGGGATTAAAAAGGAGTGGTAGACTGCAGAGTCCTCCTGATTTTGCTTCAACTTGGCCTGAAGCCAAGGGAGATGAATGATGGAGATCCATCAAGTGAAGGGTCTCTATCCATGAATTTGTGAGCCATCGCCATAGCCATACGTACTGCTCTTGCTTGGGCTTAGGAATAGGGTCCAACGTGAAGCAATGAACCTCCAAAGGGCAAAGGCCATCCATCATGTATTCTTCTTGCTTTACCTTTTACTCTGTGTTTTTGTATCTTTTGTTTTTTGGACCGTCTTGGCTTTCGGACCACTGACTCGTAGGTGAGACTTGACCTCGAGTTGTCTCATGTTAAAGACTTAATAAGGGGATTGCCGGATTGGGACCCAACCACTCAGCTCTCCTAACAAATTCCAATTAATTAATTTGTCATCCTCGGCAAGCATATTACATCCAATTGGGTCTCATTAACGATCAAGAACCTAACCTAATCTCTTTCCTATGAGTTCGGATTCGGATCCGGGTTCGGGTATGTATACGAGCGGTTCGTCTTGGTTCTAGCCCACTCTCCCATAGCCGGCTGTGGATTCCACTGGTCATTAGACTTTGAAATCCAAAAACTCTATGTATTGCTGCAAGTAAAAGGCAAGAAAGTAAGCTAATTCAAGCTGTCATCATGCCAAATTATTGAGCAGAATATTAAAAAGCACCACCAACAGATCAGAACCTAAGGTTAATTATTATACCCTACACCACATATGAAAATGAAACTAATTGGAGGGTTGGAGCTGGTAGTCTGGCACCCATAATTCTGACCTGATGGGCCCGTTTCCTAATCGGGTACAAAAGTATGGACCCAAATTGGACCCAGATCCCATTAGCATCGGACGAGGGTAATTGAGTAACTGAATAATTAGGTACCAACCAGACCCTATGCATCCCCAAGTCGGGTCCTACATGAGATGGCCGATGGGTGTTTCAACTCTCAATAGTTGGTAAACCGGCCTAGTCCATCCATGTACATAAATCAACATGTAATGATAGAGTAGGGAACTACCGGCTAGGGATAGAGTAGGATACACCTGAGGCCCATTGTCCATACCACGGAGACTCTCTGAGAGTATGCACTTCCACACTTATTATGGAGGGATGGTGACCGACCATCTGAGCTATTAGGTCATCAACCCAAGAATGAGTCAAAGGTCCCTCAGTCCTTTGGGATAGTATTATATATTAGGTGGAATCAGACTGGGTCATTGGTCGGTTAGCCCGATGGATTGGTCCGGTTCACCCATTTTTGGGTTCGGATTTCATCAAATAAGCTTGGATCGATAATATTATATTATTATTAATAATATAAGTTTATTAAATTATTACCAAATACTAATTTATAATTTAAGAAATAGGAATTAATTTATTAGATTATTAAATTACATATAGGAAGGACTTTTCATGTCCAAATTGGGCTTCGGGGTTTATATAAGGATGGGTTTGGGCTTAAACATAGACATTTTCTGTTGATGAAGAGATAAATCTCAACCCGGCCATGAACAGCTCTTCTTGGTGCGAATTCCCCATTAATTCATTTATGAAAATCGTACAGATTTTTTTGATAAATTAATTATTTATGATTATTTTATAAGATATTTATATTTATATTTTTGGAATATTGAATGAAATAAATGACTGCTCCTTTTTTGTTCTACATATTATATAGGAAAATAGGAAATGATGCGGGTATGCCAAGGATTGGAATGGAAGTCGGCACCGTAGTCCGGCTCTACAGGACCAGAGGTACGCCATGGTGGAAAATGATGTCCTTCACAGTTCAAATATTGCTTCTAAATTCTAATTCAATTATAGCGCCACGTGTGTGACAGCTGACCGGTAACGGTTTTAGTTTTACATTTTACAATTCACATGCATGGCAAGCTACCCGTACTGTAAACAGGATTTGAGGTGGGAATTTATTGTGACCACGGGTGCTGCATGCATGCACCTCCCATTCATTCCAAGCTCCGCTCTCCAC